CCGTGCAATGACCCTGCCACAGAGGGAAGGCAGCACCCCATTCGCCCTACCGGCTTGCCTGGCCGACTCTCAGCACAGTCCTCACCCCCTCAGCACAAACTCTCAGTCCACTTTGAACAAGTGGCTTAGCCTTTCTGGGTCTTGGTTATTCTTAGCTGCAGGGAAGGTGTGGAACGGACAACCCTTTACAATCTATGTTTCACCCCTAAAGAATAAGGAGACCCAAGTTGCCACAGTAGCATCTGTTTGACTTCCCAATGCTCTGGAAAAGGGGTTTTCAAAAACGGTGGCCCTGGGCTAGCAGCATGAGCATCACCTGGAAACTTACGAGGACAGCAAATTCTCAGGCCCACCCATTAAATCAGAAACTCTGGAGGTGGGGCCCAGAAATGGGATTTCACAGGCCTTCCAGGGAGCTCTGGTGCCACAGCTCAAGTCTGAGAACCACTTCCCTGAACGTTTTCTGACACACACACACCCGCCGTCCCCCAGCCCCTGCTTTCCCTCCCTTTCCTCGCTGCTACATCCTGGGATGATGAATGGAGGTCAGGGCGCTGTCAACAGAGGACGGAGGGCGCGGCAAACCCTGCCCAAGCCACCGAGAGGATGGGGGGTGGGGGTGGGGGTTGGGGGCTTGGAAAAGAAGGCGGCTTGGGGGCTGCCCGGAGACCAGTTTCCTTATCATGCTCCCGACTGCTGCTGCCCCCCTTTTGGGGGAGGTGAGAAATGGCACATTTAATAAGGTTGTTTTTAATGATTTATCCAGTAGTTTGCAGAAAAAGGAGACAGTTGAGAGGTGGTTGTCCGAAAAAGGCTTGGAAGAAGACACTGAGCAAAAGGAGGGAAGCATAGCATATGCCAGAGGTAGGGTCTGAAGTGAAGCTAAGGAGAAAATGGGGGGTTCAAGGGAGCCCCTGGTGCGAGAGAAAGGCAGAGGACAGTGCTTTTGGTGCGGGAAAAGGAAAGAACTTGGAGGAGAGCGCCGGTGTGAAGCGCGGCAGAAAGGGGGCGTTTGGGGAAAAACTGCCCTAAAGTTTGGGGGACTGTGGTTTTTTTTTTTTTCCAGCTTCCTTTGCAAGACTTTTCTTTGCTCCCTTTTGCTCCTCCCCCTCTTCCCCGCCTCCTCTGCTGCCCCCTCCTCCTCCTCGCGCGGTAATGGGAGGCTCCTAGGCAGGAGAAGCAAAAGAAGGAATTGTTTGCGAGCTCAGTCATCCAAAAAAGCTTCTTCCATATGGAGGGACCGGGTGCGCTGGGCGCGGCGTCCCCTGCCTTGTCCTTCTGCTGCCGCCGCCGCCGCGGCCCCCGCTTCCTGCCGCGGGGACCCTGAGCCCGGGCCGCGGGTGTCAGGGCCGCGCGCACACGCACGCACACACAGACACACCGACACTCGGCACCCGCGCACACGCCCTCGCGCCGCGCTGCCACGCGCGCCCGCACGCGCCCTCCCTCCGCGGCCCGCGGCTCCTCCGTCCCGGGCTCCTTTGTTGCCCCCGCCGCGGCCGCTCTCCGGGGCTGTGCGTCCCCGGTGTCACCGTGCGTGTCGTGTGTCCGCGCGGCGCGGCGCTGTGTGGCTCTCTCCGCGCCCATCACGCTGGCCCCCGAGCCCCGGCTCGCCCTTCCCAGGCGCCGGCTGCACCGGAGGTGAGTCACGTCGCTCAAGTTTGTTTTCTTTTCATAAAAAGTTTGTTTGTTGGTTTGGGGAGAGGAGGGGGCGGGAGGCGGCCGCAGGCCGGGCAGCGGGCGAGCGGCTGCTGGGGGACGCGCGGGCGGCGGAGCGGGGTCCCAGCGCTCGGCCGCCCGGGACGCGGGAGTCGCGGCCAGGCGGGCAGCGGGGGCTCGGGGCTGTGCCGCCGGCGAGCCGCAGCCGGGCCCGGGGGCGCCGCGTCCCGGCCCCTGCCGAGAAGTCTGGCCGGGTCCCGGGTGTGGCGTCCCCCGGTTCCCGGAAGTTTCTCGGGTGGAAGAAGGGCCCGGGCAGCCTTCCGAACTTCCCCCGAAGGTTGACACCGGCGCCCGGCTCCCCGCGCCAGGCCGTGGGAGAAGCCGGCGTGGGCGTCGGCAAGTAGGCAGGAGCGCTCAGCACCCGTCGGGCCCCTTGGGGACGAGGGTCTGTCGTAGTTGTGTTTTTAAAAGGAAAGCACTAAAAGCAGGGATCGTGCTAAACAGCCTCAGAAAAGCATCCCTAGAAGGAGGGGGACAGGGGGCGAGGCTGGGGTGTCCAGAGATGCCTGTGGGGCTGGGGCGGCGAGAGGGAGAACGTGTGTGTGTGTGTGTGTGTGTGTGTGTGTGTGTGTGTGTGTTCGCGCCCCCGTGTCTTCCTGGAGTTGTGCTCCTGTGGGTTTTTGTTTGTGTAACTATCAGAAGGTGGGGGACAGGAATCTCCGGAACAAGTGGGAAGGGGCTGTGGGGACGGCAAGGAAGCCGGGAAGGGTTCTCTGCTGGGTTTTTGAGCGGCCTGCTTGACTTCCTTAGTTCGCTTTGCCAGGTGATGGGAGGATTTTGGGGGTGGGAAGCAGGCAGACCTGGAGGAGTTTGTGGAGCCATGGGGATTCGTTTTGTTTAGTTTTGTTTTGGGGATGGGGATGGCCTTGGTGGAGTTACTTGAAGCAGAGTTGTGTTCCTCCAGAGATGTGGCAGTAGAGCTAAGAATACTCAAACCACACACCAGCAATCCTAAACAGGCATTTTTTGGGTGTGGTGGGGTGTATTGCTGCTCCCCCCATGCCTCTCTTGAAGTTCAAATGGGTTGGCCTAAGTTTTTGACCCATAGTTACCTCTTGAGTGGCCTGAGTGTAGAGTATATTTTGGTTTCAGGCCCTTGTGCCACCTCCAAGTGTCCTGTACCCAGGACTCATTTTGTCACCTATTTCTTTGTTGTCCAGAACTTTGCAAACATTGACCATTTGATTAATGTCATTATAAAAATCCTTGAATGTGCAAACATTTCTGATTTATTTCACAACTGGATCCTAAACAGGCAGCCCAGCTCTGTGATGGTTTTTTCATCCCTTTGGTTACAGCCAATAAATCAATCTCCGTTTTCTCAAGGGCAGCATGGAAAATATTAAAACATGGTCTTTTGGACTGGGATGGGGGCTGGGATGCCCATACACCTGGGTGACCTGTTTTCTGAACTTTATTTAAAGTAAATCTGAGGCAAGAGGTTGGCCATTTTGAGGTGTATAGCAGGTTTCCCAGGAACATTTCTGAGGTCTTATAATTGGCACTTTTTAATGGTCTCATAATTGAAACCCAGAAGGTTCCCGTGGTAATCTTGAAGCACCATGGGGTCAGTGGGACAGAGGCTGGGTGGAAATAGCAGTGGAGTTATGATCTTCCTGCTAGATGAGTTTTGCAAGTGAGTTTATGCAAAGAGGTAAAAATGAAAGAAGAGTTGCCTTGTTGTGCCACATTGCTGACTCTGCCCGCCCCCATATAGATTTATTACTCAGAATTTGGCTCTTAAGGAGGCAAAAGGCTGTCTACACCAATGATGTCAGAGGATTGAGACTTCAGACACTGTCTCTTTATCCTGTTTCAAGCTACCTTAGAAGAACAACATTGCAAGAGACATTCACTTGTGAGAAAGTGCCTGAGCTATAGGCTGTTAGCTTTACTTGGGACAGGAGGTTGATAGAAGTCAGGATAGTTGGTTCTTTGACCACAACTGGGGAGGGAGGATGTGGGGAAAAAACAGAGAGGACCCTGTTTAGCTGTTAATTGGTCTGCCAATTCGTGATAAGGAGTGTGATTTATGTTCCTTTCCATTCTCCAAATGAGTCCAGAGATTTTCCTTTCTTTGAGGTGCTTTTTCAGGTATTTGAGAATCCCAGCTCTCCTCAGCAACTCATGGCCTAAGAACGAATAGGAGATTTTACTCATGAAATAATTCAGTTGACTTCTCCATGGACCCTCAGGGTTTAATAAAGGAGGGCAAGAGGTGAGCCTGAGGAGGATAGTGTTCCATGTGCCTTAGGGGGTCTGGGTTCAAATTTCAGCAAGTCAGTGATATGGTTAATGAATTAGGGTTTCTCTCTCTGTGTCTTTCAAACTACAACAGAAGACCTGGGTACCTCAGATAATTGCTATCTAGTACTATGTGGCCTCTGAATAAGAAAGTGTGAACTTGGCACCAAAAGATATTATACATTTGGAGTTTACTTTCTTTCCGCTAAGCCCCCTTGCTATCTGGGAAAACATGGGAGAGAAGAAAGGAATGGAAATTTGGGAGGGAGAGGAAAGAAAGTAATATGTTCCATTTAGAAAAATCTATTTACTCTAACATATGTGACTTTTTGTCATCTCCATACTTTAATTCAGTAAACACATATAGTGCATCAGATACCAGGCTGAGAACTTCCTTGTCCCAAGACAGTAAGTTTTCTTAGTCAAAGCATGGTTCCTCCCAAATTTTTATTTATTGCACAAGCATTTATTACTAATTAAGCAAATATTCTAAAAATCATCCGCAATCCCATACTGTAACATGACTTGTTTTTGTTCATCCATGTGCATATATACTTTCTGAAACCTCAGACACTATCTCTTATCTTTTTTCAAGATAATTCAGAAGAGCAACATTGCAAGAGACATTCACTTGCAAGAAAGTGCCTGAGCTATAGGCGGTTAGCTTTACTTGGGAGAGGAGGTTGATAGAGGTCAGGATAGTTGGTTCCTTGACCACAACTAGGGAGGGAGGTGTGGGAGAGAAAAACAGAGAGGACCCTGCTTAGCTGTTAATTGTTCAGCAAACTCATGATAAGGAGTGTGATACACAGTTATGATAAAAGTATAAGCTCTGTTGTCATCAGAGAGCCCTGAAGTATCTCTACATTTTTGACCAGAGACTCACAGAAAACAGATATAGCCAACCACTTTGCTGTTGGTAGGAAAGACCCAATACCTAAGTGTGTTCCCACATGCAGCCTTAACATGTAATATTCTCATAACTTATGAGGTTGAATCAAATATTTGGGGTTGGGGTGGGTGGGTGAGAGAGTGTGTTTGTTTTGAATCTAGAGATTCATGTTTACAAAAAGCTTTCCTAAAGTTGGATTTTGCCTTCTTGGAGCCCTCAGGGTTGGCAATGGGTAGAGGAGGGGAGGTGGAATGCAGGCAGGAAGGTTTACAGGATCAATCTCCGAGTGGCGCTGCCTTTAGGATTAGGAAACTTGGGCTGGAGCCCTAGCTCTGCCTATGAACTCCATTCACACTGCCTCAAAGCACTGAACTAATCTATTCCTGCATCTCCACTGCCAGAGTCAGACTCCTTCCCCAAGCCTGCCCAGTCTTTCCTGCCCTTCCTTTTATTATTCCACATCTTTTTCATTCCTGCTTGTTGATGCCCTTGACAACTGTAACTGACACATGGCTACTCCCCCCCCCCCACCCATTCTCCGGCAGTCTCATAATCAAGTCACCACCCAGTTTAAAAACAGCCTAGATTGAGAATCCGAATTTCTTAACACTTTCCTATGCAGCTCTGTCCCACCTCATGACACTATTACTTCAGTGGCAGCCTTCTGTTCCAGCCCGACTCGTCTAGTAGCTAACCCTTGATTTTTGTTGAGGTCATTCCTCGGCCTCTTTCTTATCACCCCAAGCCCCTTCCCTGTAAGCTCACCTTGTTTTGTGTGAGGCCTGCTTATAATGTATTCTTAAGGAATATTTGGTGAATACTGATGAAAGTGGACTGCTGGACACAAGGATAATGGCTTTGTACAATGTAATCATTGTTCTCAATCTATTGTTCATTTCAGCTCTAGCAAGAAGCCAGGAAGCTGGACATTTAAGGAGACCTATGATCTTAGAAAAGTTGCTCTTCCTCTGTTTTCTTATTTATAAAATGGATTAATAAAGAACTATTATGGTTTATAACAATGCAGTGTGTAAAAAGCAAATACTTTAGAACTGTTTGTTTACGTTGTTGTTCAAAAGATGAGACGATTCTCTTTTGCTTCAGTCCTGGACAAGCTTCCTGGAACCCATGACCCATGAAGTCTTCTCAGCGTTCACACCGGCTGAGGGTAGCAGCGAAAGAGTAGAAGTAGGTGAGGTTTCCTGCTCAGCCTAGTATCTCTGGCCCCTTGGCTCAGTCATTTTTTCATGATTTTTTGTTACCACTTGAAGATAGTATTTTTCATTCTTAAGTATTGAAAGAGTCCAACTTTGGGTGGAATCTGGACTAACTTCAGGTCAGTTCTAGTTCAACTCAGTCAAAGCCTGTGCTAGCCATGTGAACCCCCCACCCCCTTGTCCCGAAGAAAACTTTGTCAGACAAGTCAGATACAAACCACGTACTGTGGGATTTGGAGTCTAAGCTTGCTGTGGAAAAGTCCTGCTTAGGTTGGGGTGAGGAAAGCCTTGTGTTTATGTCTCTGTCATTGGTATCACAGTGAATGCCTTGTGGTCTGATGTACCAGGGAGTGTTTATCTCACGAAAACCAGAGAGATTGTACTTCTTCTCATCTTCTGACATAAAGTTAGGAAATAATTTCTCTTTTCCTAATGATGAATTTGGCCTTCTCTTCAAAGAAGGCCTTTGATGTTTGGGACAGGATTACTGGGCAGTAAGAGGAAATCATAGCAGAAGGACCATAGCCAGTAATAGACAGTCAATTTCATTCAGTTGCCAGAGAAAATGTTGAGGAAAGTCTCAACTACTTTTCCTGGTTGGTAACAGCAAAGTGCATAATATGGGCAGGGTAAGTAGAGTTGAAGAAAAATAACCCAAAAGGAGCTGAGCAGTGGAAAGTATGGCAAAGACATGTTTATGCTTCTCCAAAATGACTTTGGACAGTGTTGGACAAGATGAGGGTGATGAAGTATGTGTTGGTTGGATCCTTCATCCTTTCAACAAGGTTTGATTGAGTACTTGCTGTGTGCCTGGCACCACGGCGTGGGCTGGCAGGGATCAATACCAGAGCCCATGTCCAGATCCTGTGACTGATGGGGAGGGAAAGGCAGGGAGGTGCCATGTGAACTCTCCTGTTAAAGCACTGGGGGTGGGGCGATTAAAAAAGACTCCTTAAAGGAGGGGAGTCAAAAGCTCAGGCTGAGTCTTAAAGACAAAGATGGAACTGGCATTACCTCTGCCCCCCCGTATGTGCTGTTCAGTATTTTCTCCCTGAAAACTCATTTTTCTTTAATGAAGGATAGGCCTGAGTATGCTGGAAACATGAGATTTCAAGTTCAGAGTAGTTTTTTGGTTTTTTTTTTAATTTAAAAAAAAGTTGAAACCTGGTGTCTCTGCATTGAATGCAAGAATCTCAGAAATCTGGGTTTTAGACAAGTTTCTAAAATCAATCACTGAATAGTTTTCAGGGGGAAAAGGAAAAATGTATGGATTTTTTTTCCCTTTCTTGTCTACTTCAGATTTTCGTTAAGAACTGTAGAAACATGTGCCTGAATGAAGCTTTTTACCTTTCAATTCCTTTTGCCATTTGTTCAACTTTCTGCAGTAGGTTTGCTTGGCTCTAAAATCATTCTCAGAGTACCAAGACAGGGGACATTTATTTTAGGGACATAGTAGTTGCTGGGCTCTCCAGTTGCCCAGAAACTTCCTTGGCTGCTGAAAGATAAATATCACAAAGGATGGGAGCTACAGGTAAGGGGAAGGGGGCATGGGGAACTGGCTGGCCTTGGAGGCCCCCTCCCAGACTGGCCTGGAATTGGATTCTGGAAGAGAGCCCTCCCCCACCTTCCCTGGCTCTGCCAAGACTTTTCCAGTTTAGTCCCAGCCAAGTGCCTTTACTAGTCTGAACTTACCTAACATTACAATCCCAGCAGGTTTATTAGGTATGGGTCACGGTTAATTGGAGAGGAAAATTGGGGGGTTCGGGGTTTATTAGTTTTCTATGAAAGCGGAGGCTGCTCTTAATTATTTCACAAATCGTCTTCCCCACTTGACTGTCTGTTTTCTGTCTCATGACTATCATCCCACAGTGGTGCTAGGGTGGCTCTTCCTCCTTACACAGCTGTGCCCAAGAGAGAGATTTAATAATGCCATCAGTCAGCACAGTGCCCTCTTTTGCAAGTGAGACCACATAGAGTCATGGAAACTCACAACTGTTTACCTCTGTCATTATGAATGGATGTTTTGTAGTGAACAAATTATGTAAGAATCTGCTGTATTATAGCCAAGAGTTAGATCGTCCAATGTATAGGCCTCTGAAATAATCACCTGCAGCCCTTCGTGGAGATTTTTGGTGGTCTGCCATCTGTGAAGGGCTCACAGTCAGGTCCTTTTCATTCTGTGGGCTTCTGTTGCAGAGATGGTAGCTGGGGAGTTAGGCCTGGCTTTGCCGGTCTGGACCGTGGCAGCTTGCCAGCAAGTTTCGCTGGGTGGTCTTTGACAATGGGAGAAGGGGGTTGGGGGAGCTCAGCTCTCCTCCCCAAAGAGGAACAACAAGGTGGCTTTCTATAGGTGGGTTTCACATCGGCAGCCAATCCCCTTGTCACTGACAACACCACACAGGTCTTGAGTGCTGGTGAAAAGAATTGAACAGGTTGCCTGAAAGTGGTGTTGTGATGGAGTTAATTTTTTCCCCCTGATTTTACAAATGAAGCCTGGTGTTTATGTGGCGAGTCTCCCTCCCAAGAGGGTGAGCACACGTGAGCAGCAGGTTGCCCTTCATCCTGTGAAGGAAGAATCGTTATTCTCACTTGTCAGGGGAGAAGCAAAACCCCTGGTGCAGCCTCTCACCCCATGGCTTAGGCCAGGGATCAGCCAAGGACCCGGAGTGCAGGCCGAGTTGGGCTAGTCTCAGTGCCGGAGAGGCAGCAGTGCCCACCTCTGCCATCCTTCCTGCGATGGGGAGAATGATAGCTGCCATGTGTGAGCACCTACTGTGTGCCAGGCCCCGGGCTAAGCACTACAAGCATTGTCCCCAGCAGTCTTGTGAAGATAGTTAAGAACTATCTATTTAGTCTAGTTATCCTACTCTACAGATAAAAGAGCTGAAGCTTAAATAATTGTAGTGACTTGTTCTGGTCTCACAGCTGGTAAGTGGCAGAGCCAAGATTTCATTTCAGGTCTGCTGACTCTAAAACTCGAGTTTTGCAGGGGAAAAAGAAAATGCCCAGGCAAGCTTTCTTCCAAAGCAGAGCCCCCTTAGCTTGGGAGAACTGTTTCATTTGCAGCTAACAGAGTGTAAGGGGCAGGTGGCGCCCTTTATGAGACTTCCTCAAGAGACTGAAATTTAAAACTGGGGCTACAACTAGAAGGTCTTGAATGGCTCAACAGCAGCAGCCTGAGGGGAGCCGGGCTCTGTGGCTCAGACTTTGCAGCCAGAGGCTCTGTGGCTCAACTAGTGTCAGGCTTCACAGGCAGTGGCGAAAGCCGCGTCCATCATGGGTTTCATCACAGAACATGTTTCAGCTCCCCCCACCCCAGGATGTTGTCTGAATTGGCTGTCCTGAGTCTCTGCTTCCACTATAGCTGCCAGACGAATCCATTTGCTCCTAGGATCTCTGCAAGTCTGATCAAGCAGGCTCTTCGTGTTCTTGGTGGAGTGAGGGGGAGAAGGTGTTTGGCCCAGGAGATACTTTTACTGGTCAGGAGAAGTGGCAGCTTGTATAGAAAAATACCCTGGGGAAGGAAGTAGCAGCTTTGACAGACAGGTAACTGACAGAAGATGCTACCTTCCAGGCAAATACTCACAGGGCAGCCAGCAAAAAGAATTCGACAGGCAGTTACCTGCAGAAGAGCTAAGCAGACCTCTCCCTGCTGGCTTAGGAGGGTGGTGGAGATTTGGCTGCAGACGACATGTGGTTACCTTTGTTCCTTGTTTTTCTTTAACAAACATGGAAAGCCTTAAGCCAAGGTGTTCTGGGTTTGAGGGCACACAGGACACCTGAGTTTAAGATATAATTATGTGACCGACTACTTGGGAAATGGAGAGGAAGTCATGGAAACCCTCTGCCTTTATTCCCGTCCTCACAAGCAGCCTTCTCAGAACACCACAAGGAGGCAGTGAAATGTGAGAAGTGTTCCTCCAAAAGAGGAAGACTTTTGATTGAAAATGTTCCTTCTTACCTCAAAAGCCTAAGGTCTGTGGCATCTGTGCTCACCCAAGATGAGTTTGGAGATGAGAAATTTAGGGAATTTGTCAGAGGTGAGAGTCTGGACATACAGGATGCATCTGCTTCTGTGGTTGTGCTTCTGTTTTCCAAGGGCAGGAGCCTGGATTGGAAGCACTTTGGTCATATTGTCAGAAACCCTCCTGTATCCCTCCAGCTAAGCTGCCTTTGCCTCCCTGTTGGACAAAGCAATGAGGGGTTTCAAGATCCTACAGGAGTTGAGGAAGGAAAAGAACTCATGGCTAAAGAATTCTGGCTAACCTTCCTTGAGAGGGGCAGGAACAACAGAGTCTGGGGGGTTTCTGGGGGATCCCATCTGAGAGGACAGAAGTCTGGAATGAATCTTATTAGAAGAAGGGCGAAGTGCTGGGGGAAGATGGTTGATGAAGGAGGGAGTGGTGTTTCTAGAGTCACTTCCAGGTTTGAGATTGAGCAGCATTCTGGTGGAGAGAAGGCTTCAGAACATGCTTTCAGTCCTGGCTTTGCCAGTTGCTAGGTGTGTGAGCCTGGGCAAGTCTCCTAAACTCTGAGACCCCAGTTTCTTAAGTTATTGCAAAGGGGAGGCAAGGTAAAGTGCATGAAATGCATTGGGAGCAATCAGTAGAAGGTAACTGTTGATATTTGGAAAGGAAGGAGGAACAGAATGAAAGGAGGGTTATTGATGGGGTTGGGCAGCTGGAAGGATGAGTGGTGCAAGGTCCTGCTGAAGGAGCCTGCAGTGGCTCAAGATCTACAGCGATAAAGAAATTCAAGGATGGGAGGAAGAAGAGCTGGCAGTAGGCGGCCCGAGTGCACCATTCCTTACCAGGCCTCCGGTAGATAATCTCTTCCTCCAGCTTCCGCTCTGCTTCTTCCCCAACTCAGCTTTCCCATTCAAGCAATTATGCCCCAAATCTTGGATTCAGCCTTGACTCTGTTCTTGCTTTCACACTCCGCTTTACACTGGCAAATAGTGTTGCCCTTAGCCTTCAGAATGTTTCCAGAATCCTGCAGCTTCTCACCACCCTAGTCTTCTATCAACATTTCTGACCCAGATATTGCAGTGGATCCGCAAGTGTTCTCCTTGCTTCAGCCCTTCCCTGACCCTTCCACCCCCCACCCCATGGTCTGTGCTTCATAGAAAAGTCAATGTCACACTGTTGAAACAGAAGCCAGTGGAGGTCATTTCTCCGTTCATAACTCTCCATAGCTTCCTGTTTCATTCAGAGAAAATATCTATATACCTTGCAGTGCCTTCTTTCACCTCACCTTTACCCCCTCACCTTACCTCTCCTCCCCTCCTTACCCAACACACAGCCTCCTTGTTGTGCATTAGCCTCCTTGTTGCTCCTTAAACAAACTAGCTAAGCAGCCTCCCTCCTCAGGGGCTTTGCACTTGCCCTGCCTGCTCCCTGGAAGGCTCCTCCCCCCCAGGCACCTGCACAGCACCCTCCCTCATTTCATTCAGGCCCTGCCTCATGGCCACCTTGACCTGGCCACCCTTTATTAAATAGCACTCCCACCCTCATTCTGTCTCCCCTCAACCTAATTCATTTTTCCTTAACATTACACCTCCTGGCATATTTATTTGTTCATTTGCTTATTGCCTGCTTCCCACTAGAACCGAAGATCCATGAGATTAGGGACTTTGTTTTGTTCCTCACCGTTTCCCAGTAGAATCTGATAGAGCAGAATCTCCTAGAGTAGAATCTGGTAGGAAAGTGGTGCTCAAATGTTGTTTGTTTGTTTGCTTGTGTGTTTTTGCTAGTCTGCAGGACTCTTCTGAATCTCAAATGGGACATGCTAAGAGTTTTAAACAAAATGAAATAATTTCATGTGGATTTACATAAGAAAATGTATTCTGGGGTATTCTAATGTTACAGTCTCTGTTTCAGAAAAGCCAGGAAGCAATGTGCAAGGCTGCTGTAGAAAGATCCCAGTTCCTTTTCTTTTCCTCAAGGGGACTGACTGCAGGAATGTCCATGGGTGTGGACATGTCATGGGTGTGCCAGTTGTTCCACCTCTTGGGGGGATAGGGGAAGGGACTCCCTTCCTCATCACTCACCCAAGGGGGATCTGGTGAATGTCTGCTTTATGGCCAGCACTGTGCTCAGCCCGGCTCGCTGTCTCATCCCACCAGCAGTTGACAGCCTGATCATTCATCTAGGATTTCCTAACTGTGCCTGGGCCATCCACTTTGCCACTCTCCTCCTTTAGCTGACTGAGTGGAATTACAGTTCTGTCAAATCTGCTTTGAAACCACAGGCCCAGGACATGGAATGAATTTGAGAATAGTTCAGCTGCGCACACACGAGGGCCTGGTGGGGCCGGGCACACAGGAAACAAAGATGGAGAGTTGACAAGCTATGAAAGTGAGGAACAGCATGTTTGGATGTCCACCTAGTCGGGGGCATATCTGACTTCAAATTGCATCTCAGTCATTTCTGACTTGGTTCTAGATTTAGAAGCTGAGGAAGAAAAAAGGGATAAAGATCCCGGGAGGTTTTGTGCAGACAGCAATGGTGAAAAACATGCCTGAGAAATTATACAACCAGATCCCCAAACCCAATGGGTATGCATCTCGGGAAGATGGGAGAATAGTCCAAGCCTCCTCTTTCAGTTTTGTTTTGTATTGTTTTTAATTAATAGTACTTTTTTTCCCCAGAAGTTTTAGGTTTACAGAGAACATTAAATGAAAAATACAGAGTTGCCATACTGATTTGCCCCTATTACTTAACCCCCACCAATTTCCCCTATTATTAACATCTTTTGTTGGTGCAGTACATTTGTTATAATTGATGAGCCAGTATTGACACATTATTACCAACTAAAGTCCATAGTTTACATTAAGGTTCACTCTTTGCATTGTGCCTGTCCTGAGTTTTGACAAAATACCCACCATTACAGGAGCATACAGAATACTACTTTCACTGCCTAAAATCCACCGATTCCTCTCTCCTTCCCTTGCCCCAGCCCCTGGCAACCACTGATCGACTTACTGTCTCTCCAGTTTTGCCTCTTCCAGAATGTCATTTGGTTAGAATAACACAGTTTGTAGTCTTTGCAGATCAACTTCTTTCACTTGGCAACCTCCTTCAACTTAAAACATGGCTTTCTCGCCCTCCTGGCCCCATACACGTATGTAGCTGGGGCTGGAGAAGGAGGGGCCCAAAGCTGTGTGCTGAGACTGCTCCCCCACCCCAAGCAGAGCCCCTCAGATCTGCAGTGTGATCCCTTTATCATCTTCCCCTGAATGTCCCTGGCCCTGGTGCTACTGGAGTTTAACCCGGGCTGGTAAGCTGTCAGGAGCTGCCTGTGTTTGGGTTCCACATCTGGAAGAATCAGCTGTGCAGACCCTCCCGTTCCCTTCTGAAATGGAAAGACAGGAGGAGCACATGGGGCTGTTTGCCTTCCTCCTCGGTAGTTTGTTTTACTTGCTTTGGAGCTGCGGACAGGCGGTGGGGAAGTGAGGTCCCCTGGGCAGGCAGCCCTCCTGCACGCCCACGCCCACATCCGGTGGCGGTGGCCGCAGGTCTCTCAGCCTCTGAAGTCGCTGCCGTTCAGTCCTGCCGGGTGCCTGTTGAGCCCTGGGAGTGATCGAGCACTGGGGCCTGTTTTGTGGTCATTAGGAGGAAGACCAATGAGGTGCAAAGAGATTGAGGACATTGTCCCTGCCAAGAGGTACTTCTTTCTTGAGTCAGCCTCAAAAACTAGGATTCTTTGGGAGTTAGTGGGCAGCACCCTCAGTGTTCAGGGCACTCACCAGTCACTCTAAACAGTGGGGCTCTCTGGGGACAGCTGGGACAGGTGCTGATGATGGGTTTTATAACAGCATCGGGAGGAAGCTCTCCAGCCCCATTGCAGCTCTGTACCACATTTAGGGGAAAGGAAAGTGCATGTGAGTGGAGGGTCACTTGGATCATCTGAACCAGGCTGGAAAGTTCCAGGGGCTGAGGAAAGAGGGTATACTAGATAGAGAGGGTTCCAACCCTGGAAAACAGGGACTTAAATTCAGACCCTGGCTTCCATTGCTTCCTGTCTGGAATAAGCAGAGAACAGAGGCTGGGTGATACCTTCTCATGCTGAAAGACACCAGCCAGGTGTTTCAGAGTTCAGTACAAAGGAGGCATAAGACTCATTGGACACCTTGGAGAGTCGGCTTTTTGGACTATGGAAGTTCCATGCTGAAGATCCAAATCTGTACCAGCTTCTCCTCTGGTTTTCTCACCTGGCCCACCCTCCAGTCTGTAGCCTGACCAGTAACTCACTGAGAGTTCTGGGCTGCCATTCTGTGGCTCTGCCAACCCTGTGTAAGTGCAGAACAATAATACCTGTCCCCAGCTTGTCCCCAAGACTGTGAGCACTAATGCAATGGAGTATTTAAGTCTCTTTTAACTCTTCAGAGAGTTGTGCTCTACAGGCAAGCTGTCCTTCTTGCTTTTGTTGCTAATTATGGATTCAGGGTGGAGCCTCCTGACCCCTGTCTTCCTGGGTCTACCTCCAGAGTCTGGAAGGCTATAAGAGTGATTACTGACCTTTAGCCCATCCAGAAGCCTTGGCCCTTGCCTCAGTTTACATTGAGAGGCAGAGGATAAAGAATTACCAAACTGGGCGAGTGTGGGACCCATGTCCCTACCAAATTCCCCCTCACTCCTAAATCACCCTCTCCACATTCTGTCCCCACAGGAAGTACAGTGAGAATCTTGAGAAAGAATCCCAGACCAACTTCCATAGGTTCATGCCAGGTGGTGCGTATGCATGAGCAAAGGCCACATATTCTGAACCAAAAGACAAATACATGATCTTACAAAGCAGTTTTATTTTTCTGATATGGGGAAGAAAACTCTCAGAAAGACTGGTTTATAAATATCTTGTGATGCTTTTTAAAAAATCACCTGTAGCATAAGGAATGGCATTCTGTACAGTGGGGCCTTCTCAGAACCTCCAAAGGTGTGGGTTCCTGTTGGAGTGGGAGGTGCAAAGAGTCCTGTGGGGGAGCTTTAGTGGGTGTTAGGGGAAGGAAATCTCCAGTGTGATCTGGGTCTTCTTTAGTGCTTTCTCTCCAGAGCAATCTGCAGAAACAGAGTGGGCTCCCAGTTTTATGTACCACTGCACCACCTCTCTGTCCAGAAAAAGCCAGCCTTCAAGGCAGGAGAACAGGGAAGCTCCTTAATAACCAAGTTCTATATACCTTGAAAGTCGGGAGATATAGAGGAACTGCGTGTCCAATGGAGATGGAATCTCAGGCAGGCAGAACTAATTTTTCCCACAAGGGAAATTGACAAAATGGTAGTGTTAATGCCCTCTGTCTGGATGGGGAATGGTCGTGAGACTTTGTCTGGGTGCATCTCAGCCCCGATAAGACGTGAATCCCTGCTTGGGGATGTGGGTTCTGACCTGTCTCCCTGGATGAAGAATGCCACTCACTAAAGCTCAGGGTGCCCGGGCAGCTGCCTTTCCTCAACCCCTTGAGATTTCAGGCTGAGCTCTCCCTGCTTGTCCGGGTATTCAGCAATAGCCTTGCTTGAGAGCAGCTCATTCATGCCTCTCCCAGGGGCCTGAAGACATTTGCCACCATCGGCATGGCCTTTCAGTCCCAGAACTGTATTTAACAGGTTATTTACTGAGCACTGTGCCTACTGCCCTCAAGACACCTATATCCCAGCTTCTGAATATTTCCCACACCAAAACAGGAGGTCATTCTGCCTTGAATTGTATTATCCGCATTACCTTCTTAGAAGAGTGCTTGGCTCAGGGAGGTACTTAGACGGTCAGCATTATCCTCCTCATTATTGTAAGTTTGGCCTGCCATGAGATGCTGATTTATAGAGCCCATTTTCTCAGATAATTTGGCTATTTAAAGAGTTTTGTCAATTGTGGCATGTTTGAGAATTTTATAGGTAGAAAGTGGAGGCCCAGGGAAAAGTGATAAATTCAGAAATCCAAGCCAGTTTCCTTGATGGTCTTTCACCGAAACTCGTGGCCTCCATACTTGGTTGGTTCTGTAGTCAGAAAAGAGCCAGCCAGAGCTGAGACTTGTCATTGGTCACATATGCTTGGGGTTCTAGGGAGGGCCCTTTCTGGACAGGGACGCCCCAGAAAGATGGAGGACAATCAGTTGGCTCCAAGTCTAGAGTCCAGACATCCAGGGAGATAGTCTCCTCGGGTCTCCTCTGGTGGGACCAGCAGGCTCCTTCTCAGGGGTTGGCTGCCTTTTTAGCCCAACACTAGGGAGCCTTTGGGGGCCAAAGAGGGGGTACACTCCCTCCTTCACCAGAGCCTGGGCACTCGCTGAAACCTGTCTGATAGGGCCTGTTTGCCTTAATTGAGAGGACATTGGATGGTTAGGTGGTTAGGGATTCCTGGAAGTTGGTTCAGGATTGGGAAGATCTGAGAGAATCTTACCTAGTTATTTTGCTGAAAAAAAAGTCTTACTTTGTATTAATTTTAAAACTGAAAGATGCATAAAAACAGAACAAATCATATGAACCCCATGTACCCACCACCCATATTCCACAATTATAAGACAGACAAAAGTGTTTTTTTTTTTTCTAAATATTACTTTGTTTTCATTACTGAGCTGCATGTGTGGGATAGGCAAAGACAGATGCTACAAGCCTACTCTTTCCCAAAGAGGTGTGTGACCCAGCCTTCCCACTGCCTCCCGACAGGGGAGCAGGAAGGAAGGCACACCAGCTCTGGGCACTGGGGTTTGATTTGCAATTGTCTCCTGGTGCTCTTAGATGTTTCTATGTGTTTCTCTTACCAGATGTTGAACTCGAACTTTATCTTTGGATTCTCAGGGCCTAATATTCAATGGGTGTTCGGTAAGAGTTTATTGACTTATGAGGCAAGTGGTTTCATGAGACAGTGGGGTTCCTTCTGGACAGGTGTGAGTAATGGGAGTGCTTTGCTCACCGTCCTGGGGGGAAGGAGCAGAGGATGGTACATAGAGTTGAGTGAGGGGCCATTATCTGAGCCCTGGGGGAGCTGAGGTGGGAAGGACAGAGCCTCACAGGTGAAGGGTTGGCTGAGATCATTTTAGAGAGCAACACTTCTCAGCAACGATTTTGCTGAGAAGGAGGCAGTTAGTAGCAGGAGGAACAGGAGAGACTGGAGCCCCAGATTCAGGCCCTGGGGGAGGTGGGGCAGGATTCTGAGAATGGGGACTCCATTTCCAGACCCATTTTTCTGGGTGGCCACAAGCAGTCTGCAAGCTGCCTGCACCACCAGGGCCGGCGTGCCATTTTAAGTGCTGTTTTATTCATTTTGGAGTTGGCAAGGGAGACCAGGCAAGGAACCCGGCTGTTCCAAGCGTGGAGGGAATGGAGTCCTCTTCCGGCCTCCGGAGTGCTCTGCAGTTCGGCTGCTCTGAGCCCCTCTGGGGCAGGCCCGGGTAGGGTGGGCCGTAAAAGGGTATGAAATGGGGCATTGGGTACTGGAGAGGAGACACCTTAGACACTTCCCCTCAGATCTGACCCTGGGGTGGGCAGGCAGAGGTCTCAAGCAGGACTTGTTACTAGCCGATCCTGGGGGAGTTCCAAGGGCCTGACTTTGAGCAGGCAGCCTGCCCCCCACCTCCCCACTCCTCCCCGGTCTTTTTCAGTTTAAACTTCCAGCCTGATCCTCCCCTCCCATACATGCATGCATGATGTGTGTGTGTGTGTGTGTGTGTGTGTTTTAATTTTTATTCTTGGCAGAAGTTAAGACACAACATGGATTTGGAAGGAGATGAAACCAGTCTGGGTGTATGTTGGGCAGCAGGCAGCTTCATTCCTGGAGTGGGAGGGCCGGGAGGGGGCGGGGCTGGGGCTCCGAGGTGGGCGTGGGGGATTGTCTCCTCCCCTGGTAGGAAAATCGGAGCTAAAGGCTGTGCTGTTAACCCTTTGGGTTGTGAAACAGCGGGTTTCAGTGAAGCCAAAGCCCTGTGGTCTGACCTGGTGTTGTGGGACTCCTGGATAGCCAATACCTGTTCCCCTCGGTGGTCTGGGAGCCATGGGGCCTGTGCTGGCTTTGTGAAAGGAATCACTGATGGCTTCTCAGGCTTTGATGTGCAAGTGCTCAAATTGGCATAAGCTTGCAAATCATCCCTACCCTGCTAACATCTCCCTCAGTGCCACCTCACCCTTGCCCCCAGAAGTAAGTGGTCATAGGCCCAGGTGGCAGCAGTGACTGTGGCTCAGGGACCTGTTTGAGTGCCACATTTGCTACTGTGAAGGTTGTCTTGGCCCCCAGAATAGGCACTTGTTACAATGGCGGCCTCCTCTGGGGTCTTTATTTCTGTGGGGAAAAAAGCGAGGAATATGAAAATCCAGAAAATATCTGGGGAAATCTGAGAGAAGCCTTTTGGGAAAAATGTTTTCTTCCTTAAAATATATTGATACTCAATTTGTGGAATGAGAAATATTTACTTTAGCTTTAAAAATTACAAGAATTTCTGTAAAATAGTATAGTAAGGAGCATCTTTATACAAAACTCTCAATCCCAATCATTACATCCTGTGTAACCAGGGTATTTGTGGCTGACGGTTTTTACCAAAATTTCCCTCCAAACTGGGCAGAGACACCTGCACAGTGGTTCTCAACCCTGGCTGCACTTTACACTTTCCAGGAAAGAGGTTTGAAAACACTGAGGCCTAGGCCCACCTCCACAGGCCCTAACTTAATTTGCTTGAGATGTAT